GTATGTTGCAAATTATCCCGTTATCACACATTCATACATACTCAAGTCTTGTTGAACACATTTAATTTTTAGTTAAACAAGTAAAATCCAGTGAATAATCAAGAATTAAACTGTCTATGTGTTTGCCTCATTTCCGTGTGCCTTTGAACGCATCTGGGTGCTAGCTGCGCGGCTACAACAAGTATTATTTTCTCTAAGCTTTTTTTTCCGCCATTTCTCGTAATAAACCTTGATATATATGAGTAAAAATCAATAATATAATCTGTATATAACAACACAAACTGTTTACATGTCTATTTACACTTTTTGACATCCGCAAACTGAACTTCTGAACAAATACGATTTCCAGGACGAATCCAGCAGCCACACTCCTCGTGGCTGTTGCCGGTCCCAGCAGGCCAAGCATGTTGCAATTTGATGACAAAATGACCCATCGCAATATGCCGGTATAAAAATCTCTATCGTTGGCAAAATTTGTATCGCATACCGCTTATACCGTTAATATCGCCCAGCCCTACATCCATCCATCCATCTTTCCATATCTTCCCCTTAATCAATTTCTGAGTCGGGGGGGTGACAATCAGAAACCAACCAATTCACAGAGCACCAGTCCCTCAATGATCCTCCTGTAGGTGGTGAATCCACAGGAGGAAGAGGGTACAGCCTTGATCATTCAGCGGGCTCTTGCACAAGGTCACAACGACAGCAGACATCAGTGGGAGTTGGCGGTGAACCCATGCCTCAAATGCCAATGCTCACTGACTGAGCCACTGTGAAAGCCCCACAGAAGGCAAAAGTGGTTGCATATTAGTTTCAACAGCGGAGATAGGTGTGACAACGTCTGTGAATATTTGCAGTCCATGGTTTCAATAATTTAAAAAAAAAGTAAACGTTTCAACCTCAGCTGACTATAGTCTGTTTATACCTAGGATGGATCTAAACATACATACAAAGGTCTGGGCGATCTCATAAATTAAATATGTACTTGCAAACAGACAGGAGAAAACACAAATACAGTTTTGCTTAAACTAATACAGTATGTCACGATTGAGAAAAGTTTAGAGGAGGATCTTCTGATTTTTGTTCTCTGTTTGGGCAAGACACTTTGTCCAAGTATGAGTCTGGTGTGTGCGTAAATGATTAGAGGTTGTCAGAAGGGCTGATGGCAGGTTGCCCCACTTCTGTCAGTCTGCCCTAGAGCAGACTGGCAGACAGGACTCTAGCTCTACAAACATTCTTTAGACACATCTAATAGTTTTTAAAATTCAAGTGCTAACGGACGGCCCATTGCATACTGTATGTACTTGTGGGAAAAATGTGAAGAGTTTTTGTTTCCCATGAGGGAAGTGAAAAAGGCACTTCTGTGATGAAATACAGCAAACTTTTTACATTATTTTGAAAATTCTATAGATAATTTGACCACATTTTTTAGTCCTTTATATACACAACAATCATTGAAAGAAAGAAGAAAGATTATGGATTTTGTTCAGATTTCTTTCTCACTGTCCGCTGAAATCAGTAATGCAAGGAGACATAATAGCGAGAAAAGAATCAGAATAAAGGGCCAATAATTTCTGAAAAAAACAACAAAAACGACTGCATTCACAAATCCCCACACCTCATCGCTCACAGCTTTGTTGGCAGAATGGAAAAGGGATGCAAGGTTGTCTTGATTATGATAATTGAGCTGTTTTCATGGCAACAATGAACGACCAGCATGTGGTAGAATGAGCCAACACAGTCACCTCTTTGTGGACAGAAATACTCAAATATATTCCACTTCACAGTCATTTAAGAATGTTTCATGCACAGTGACAATTAAAATACAAATTTCTCCGCAGATTCATTACGGAGGGCATGAAGAGGTACACATAGCATTACATTTAAACAGTAAATCCTAATGGTATGTGTTCTTATACGATTTTACGGTATGAATACAATAATAATTCTCAGTGACAGAACATTTACGGTGTTGTCTGGTCACAAGGTTGAATCGGAGTGAAAGGGAAATGACTTTATGAAAGGGCTTTGTAGATTGGATTGGGGGCGCACACATGGTCTGAGTTACCCCCTCATATGACCAAGACACGCCCAGTTCAAACACAGTTCAAATACTGTGCACAAGCAAGACTCCTGTTATCAAATGCCACACGTATGAAGAGAAACATTCATAAAAAAGGTTACCCAAGTTGCGGAATCTAGTGAGGAATGCTGCAAATGTCAAACCAACAAAAGAGAAAATTAGGAAAACTTTACTGCAGTCATCCACTAACTGTGTTGGTCGAAGGAAATGCAAACAACTTTTAATTATCATAATAATAATGCATCGCTTCACATGTCATTGACAGAGGGGAGGCAACCATGTGCCATCAGCCCCTCTGACCACCACCAGCCATTCACACACACCAGACACACACACCAGACTCATAAAAATCTTCAGTTTACTTAATACCTAATGCACTTGGTTATAGTAAACTGAAGATATTTATGTAGATTTTTATATAAGCATGCCTTCTTGGTTTTATTCTGCTTTAACTTGTTTGCACCGAGAGCCAAAACAATTTCGTTGTTTGTGACTTCGGGTTACTCACATGGCAATAAAAAAAATCTGATTCTGAAGTGTCTTGTCAAGGACACAACGACAGCAGACATCAGTGGGAGTCGGTCTTGTGGAGGGCTTGAATTGCTTACTCCAAAAGTAAAGCTCGGCCAAACATGAGACATTTTCTCCTTAAAGTGTATTCAGTTACTTTTCAAACTGTGAAGAGAGAGTGAAACTTTTATGAAAGAATCACTGCTTCCCTCCATCTCAAATCATCTGAAATCCTTGAGGCTCCTCGTCATTGGTTTGACTATTCTCCTTCAGCAAATCTTACCGATCGGAGTTATGCCAAGTGGAAGGACTGTTTTAAATGTAACATTGTTGAAAAATATTGACTGCAGTGTCACATGGGCTAAAATATACCATTACCATATCTTTTCAAATTACATTCCTGACATAACCTTTAATAAAGAGTAACACTTTTCTTTGCCACACCTTTGAAAACGTCTCTTCTTCCAATTAAAAGGGAATATAATTAAAGCAGAACCAAATGTCAGAAGAAAAAAAGCAGCAAAGGTCAAACTTTTCACAAAGACAGCTGAAGACGTAATGATTGATTGAGAATCGGAAAATATAGGTTTTTTTTTATATGAAAATGTTCAGTTAAGTGAATCATTCGAATAATATTATCTGCAGAGAGGGAAATCTAAGCTGAAATATACACAAATCCCATTGTCCCACAAACTAGTCTGAATTTACATATAGATGAGGTTATGCACACAATGTGGACTGTAGGTTCACAATGTCCAGAGAGAACAAACTGTGACTTCAGCCTAATGCTTAGAGAGACTTCAACAAGCCTTAAAAGTGCAATCAAGTCAGTGCTGGACGATCAGGAGAAAATAATACACCCAGTTTTGTTTTTTTCACAAACATAAAAAAGTATCTCAAACTTCATGTACCATGCATCATATTGAATCGAGATCTACAAAACGTGAGATTGCAATTTTTCAATCTACATAATTTTGGCAGTGCTCTAAAGCAAGACATTATGGTTATTCACTTTTTGGGTTCTAACTCTTCAAAACTAATAATAATAATGCATAAGTTTTATATAGCGCTTTTTTGGACACTTAAACTTCACATGTCATTATTCATTCACTCCACACACAGTGGTGATAAACTATACTGTCCCCACAGCTGCCCTGGGGCACACTGACAGAAGCGAGGCAACCAGTCTGTGCCATCGGCCCCTCCGACCACCGTCAACCATTCTCACATACATACTCACACACTCAGTAAAACAGCAATGAAGACGGTATTGATGTGTAGACTAGACTACAGTAGTGTTTTCCAACCAGTGTGCCATGCAACGTTTGTGTGCCTTAAGATGTGATTTGGTGTGCCCTGTGCAAATGATCCAATATCACAGACTTTGTCAAAATAATGTGAGGAGAATTGAAAGACTTTGCTTGCACATTGATGAGAATGACGTATTGTAAATAAAGGCTGCAGAGTTTCATTTTTATTTTTCCAACTCTTTCCTTTCTTAAATCTCTTAAATCGCTCAATCCAATCTTAATTTGTGTATGTTTCAGCTGGTGGTGTGCGACTGGTGTATGTGATTGCCTTCAACAAAAAAGGTGTGCCACAGCTCAGAAATGTTGGGAAACACTGGACTAAAGCATGAATGTAATTTTCCAGATGTTGGTTAATCGGAAGAACATGATGCAAATATTCCAATGTTGTGGATCTTAAAATGTCCAGCGGTCTGCTACTTACTCACTATGTTTGATTGTAGGGGTGATGGCCCCTAGCTGCTTCTCTCCTCTCCTCAGAACAGAACTTCTACAGGTAAGATTATTCACAAATAAAACGTGAGGATACCTGTATGTTCCGCGCAAATGTATCACATTAAGGATATTAGAAAGACTTGTTTGGATCTCTAATAACACTTGAACACAATTTTGGTTGAACCTAAACTGATTTTTCTGATTTCCACTTGAACGTTTTGATTATCTGAAGGCTAAAGCCACTGGCACCATGGCAGCTGTCCATGAGTCCCCCATGGTCAAATATCACATGCACACAGCAATTCTTTGATTGTCTCTTTGTAAAATCAATAAAATGTGTTCTGTGGCTGTACACGACCGCAGACCCCCGCCTCGTTTGTCATTCACTGGTTCCTCTTTTTGCTGGGCTATAGGCCTGGTTATATGTACATATATTGTAATCTTGTACTTGTCTCTTTTTTTCTCAAAAAAATCGAAAATCAAGCAATGGTTCTTCAAACAGACATTTTTCAGGTCCTCTTCCGAAAATGTCCCCTACATGATGTCAGTGAATTGTGGGAGAAACATTACAGATGATTCAAACTGAATGCAACAGTTTTTTCTGAATGTAAGATTGACAGTTCATTGTAATTTCAACATAATATAATGAAACGTGCGTGGCTTACCTGATATCCCAAAGTCAAATATCGCCAGGTTGACGGTCATCAGCTCAGGAGGCTTCAATTTGGTTTTGCGTGTGATGCTCATGTATATCACATATCCATTCCCAGTGGCGGACAGCACACCTGCAGAACAATCAAACAGTCGAGGCAAATATTAGGTATTTTAATAAAAACAGTGGGTGCACGCTCATAAGCAGATGTGTCAGGTTAACAAAGGACAACATCAAGTAAAATTAGTTTTCTAATTATAGGTGTGAGATAAAAAGACAATCCATATTGGAGCTGCTTATATAAGCTATGCATTGCATCACAATTTGATCGTGTCCTTAGGCAATATACATCACCAACCTCAGCTGTAACTGCTGTGATTGATGGTCAAATGACTGCTTGGCTGGTTCTTTTTTATATAACATACATAGTAACCTACAGCTAAATTAACTGTGAGTTTTCCATAAGGGAAATGAGCGTCCAGCCTGAGTTGTGCCCTTTCACCAAGGTCTGTGCATTAGTTTAAAGAGAGACTTTTTCTCATAGCCACATTCTTTACAGCAAGACTTTAAAGTTGCAATTTATATTCATCTGTACATCTCACCAAAGCTCCTTTCCCAAAGGACTTGATACAGATAGAGAGTATACATGAATGTGCTCAGTCAGGTCTGCAAAGCCGTTTCTCTCTCGTTAGTCAAAAGCTTCAGAACCAAAGGTTTTGTAAGCTGTCAGCTGCAACATACGGACATCCACATACGATGTATTCATTAGTTTGGATCAATAGGTTACAGACAGGGCTGGCAGTGTGTGGCGCAAATAGTCAGCCACTTCTTTTATATTGATCAATATTATGTTATGTTTACTGCTCAGGCCATTCCAAAAGAACTTCCATAATAATGGCTGGAGTGGCACTCACATGGGGCTGAGATGATTGCACAATATCAAGAAACAATATTGTAACATTGTGACATAAAATGTATTAGTATAAATTGACAAAACAAACCGCTGGAATCAATAGTCAAAACCTGACTACAGCATTAATGCCTTTTTTGCAGAAGATGTGCTACAGGTTTAGGAGTTTGAAATGCCTGGAGTAAAATAGCACCAGATGCCACATAGATTCCACACCACATAGTCCGCTGTAAAACAGTTTTCATTTAATCATGGCTGATCCCCATATTTCTGCTGCTTTGAATCCTTAAAATCTTTGATGTTGCAGCTTCTCAGCCCCGTTACTTGTCATTACATTGACTAGCTGTCCTGTTATATGTTTTATTCAAACCTGACGAGGCCTATACTCCTCATACCATGAATCCTCTTAGCGAGCGCTCATGTGCAGAGATCCTTCACCTTGTGGAGACACTGGAGCTGCCCGTATGTGCTGACACAGTGTCGTGAATAAACTGCACAAGTTGGCTCCAGTCGAATATGGTAATTGTGTGCAAATATGAGATGTCAAAGAGGATCTTGTATCTTCACAAAGAAACACTCAGCTAAGATATGTTTTGTATTTATAGTGGAAGCTAGAATGGCACGTGTCTTATGTACTTTTTTGCTTCTTAGCAAGAAATTAGTGGGTTCAAATCCTTATTAGAACAGGCCTTTCTGAATGGCGATTGCATGTTCTCCCATGTCTGTGTAGGTTTCGTCTGGTTGCTCTGGTTTAATGACCACTATGTATGAACAAAAGGTAAAAATTCTCCATCTCTGGTAGTCACATCTGGGCAGTGTTGGGAGTACAGTGATGTAATTACTATAATGTAGTACTTCCTTTGGAGTTGGATGAGGTGGTTACTTTGGTTCACGTCAAAAGAATCATACCGATCCAATAAATAGGATTTAAACCAGCCAAGTTCTGTTCCTCTGAGACCCATGTCACATTCTTGCATCTGCAGTAGAATGCTGCGGTCTATTTTGCTAAATGCAGCGCTGAGGTCCAGCAGAAACAACACTGACAGACGTCCATTACCAGCAGCTATAGCAGTAAGTCATTTGAGACTTTGACTAGTGCCGTTTCAGTGCTATGGAAAGCTCCAAATTTGGACTGAAATATTTAAATATATGATATATGTGATATATGAGAATTATTAAGAAGTCATCAGATAGTAGGAGGGCTTTTATATTATTTATTTTTTTATGTCTAAAGTGTTGATTATAAATGTGAGTCCTCAACATTCAGGGTGAAAGGACAGACACTGTCAATGCCAAAATATCCAGTTTTGACTATTCCAAAACGATCTGTTTAAAACTTGCTGTAGGAACCAGAAGGTCAGTGTTAAACATGGGGTGGATGGTGTTAGGTTTTCAAATGTTCTTTTTTTACTATGATGAGTGAAAAGGGATGTTCCCTCCAAAGTTGGTATATAAAACGGAAAAGCAGGTCATGAGCTCTTAGAAGTCAACATTTTGAGTATGTTCCCTTATTAACTACATGTGAAGTGCTTTGAAAAGTGGTGGAAAAAATATATACTTCACATCAGTATGAAGTAACAGAAGAATATCAATCTGTGGTAATGACAGTGGCTCAGGTGCAGACCTGTGGAGGCTGCTGACACATATCAATGCAGACAAAAGCTTTATTTCCCATTCCCTGCTGCTATGGTCCTGCAAACACACATGTGGCCAGACCTACCGAGCAATTGACTGTTACCACAAAAAGCCATCGTTTTCCCTGCTCCACAAACAAAGCATGGATAAAGATTCATGTAAAATAGATCCATCACATCTTCAAATTTGCAGAGCCATTTGGGTACAAAACAAGAGCAACACAATGTTCTCTGTGAAATACACAGGCAGCACTTGATAATTGAAGGTCCTTTATTCGTCCCACAATGGGGAAATTTCAGTTTGATGCATATACATATAGTACATATGTATATGTACGCGGGCGGCACGGTGGCTGAGTGGATAGCACTCTCGCCTCTCAGCAAGAAGGTCCTGGGTTCGAATCCCGGTCGGACCAGGGCCTTTCTGAGTGGAGTTTGCATGTTCTCCCCGTGTCTGCGTAGGTTTCCTCCGGGTACTCCGGTTTCCCCTACCACTAAAAATATGTCCAATAGTTCTGGCATGCGCTTCCTGTACTGGCGACCCCATCTCTGTGTGGAGTGAGAGACAAATGCCCAAAAAATTAACAATTGTAAACCGCTTTGAGACTCAGATCTGCAGTGAAAAGGCGGTATATAAATAAAAACTTACTTACATATATACACATCAAGGCATGCAGCGAACATCATATCCGCGCTCCTTATAGGCTAAGTGGGTTAAGTGTCTTGCCCAAGGACACAACGACAGCAGGCATCAGTGGGAGTCGGTGGAGAAGGTCCCGTGGTGGGCTCGAACCCACGACCTTTGGGCCCAACGGCCAATGCTCTACCAACTGAGCCACTGTCGCCGTTGGTTTGGACTAAACTCATTAGTAGAGTGGCCTACCCACAATCAAACCCTAATATTGACACATCATAATATTCAGATGTAAAGAGTAGGAAGACTTTATAGTGTATATATATATATATATATATATATATATATATATATATGTACCTGTAAGTGTGTGTGTGCGTCTGTGTGTGCATGCATATGTGTGTGTGTGTGTGCGTGTGTGTGCGTCTGTATGCATGTGTGTGTGTGTGTGTGTGTGTGTTTATGTGTGTGTGCGTGTGAGTGTGTGTGTGTGTGTGTGTGCGTGTGCGCCTGTGTGTATGAAAGGATTACTTCAGATTCAACCAAAGATGATTCAGTTTAATATTCACCTGATCTTTTTTTTTTTTTTTTGCAAAAATTGCTGAATTTTCATTTATTCCAGATATCAAGAGTTTTAAGATGTGACAGAGGCGAATAAATGTTTCTAAACATTGCTTTTTTATGTTTGAAAAACCTTAAAAGTGTTTGTATGCTAACGGAGGTCATTGCGTCATTACCAAACAGCAATTCACCTGTAGAACTTGTTCTAGTTTTCAGCATGGACTTGATGCTGAAAGAACAAGTCTTGGAATAGTTGGAACGTTATACGATATTGCATAATGTATGCCCAGTGCCTTAAAGGTACACTACGTAAGATTTGGGGTAAATAATGCATCTTTTCTAAGCCACCAAGACACTGCCTCGACTGACAATCGCTGAGGTGTAAACAGTTGAAATTATATAATGTCATTAATGTCACATGTCATAGAGACATTTTACAGAGGGCTCTAACACTATCTTGAGTGTGGAGGTGCTTAGATGAAAAGAATGAAAGGATGCGATTTCTAAATAATGGTTTGAACATGCCCTGCGAGCTAAAGAGACCACACACATGGCTGGGAGAATTGTGTTTGTGTTGCAGAGCCCTGTTTTACACCGATTCAAACATATCTTATTGATTGAATGCGGCCTCTTTCGGATTAGCCGCTTCCTTACATTCACGGCATGTGACACTGTGGGCTGCAGAAAACCATAGCTCTACTGCTCACATTAAATCCTTTAGCTTCGTGTTATTGTGAGGAGCGTGTAAAATGGAAAGACTTGGCCGCACACGTAACCAGCCGTGTCTTGTAATAGAAATACACCTACAACAAGCCACAGCCTACTTACCTTCAACATAACTGGATTAATGTAATATTGATTTGGCTCATTCAGGTTTTAACTTTCAGACCAGAAGTAGGAAATTGGCCGATTGTTCTGTTTTGAAAGCCAATTATCAAAACTGAGGAATTGTGTTTGGCAATATGACCTTTTCTTTATGTCAAACAAGTGAAATTTATTTAAAGTCCTCAATCATTAATGTAGATGTAATACACATTTATATGTATTGCTAATTACAGACAGTAAATTTGTATTGAAAAGTTAGTTGTTAAAAAGACATAAAGACAGCAGATTAGACAGGACGTTTGTGAGGCATAGATTGAAAAGGAATAACTCATTATTCCACTTGGCCTTGAACCCTGATTAAATAGACAGGACTGCCGCTGATTGCTGACAATGAAATATCAAGTAACGGTTTTTCAAGCAGGTTTCAGCAGCAACAGCGCAGTATAGAGTACAGCCTCAGTGAGAGTGGGAGACTGGCTCTATAGGCGTCACTGAGTTTCGGTTTGGTAAACTTCATTTTGACGTAAAATCAAAGATGTGGTAAAGCGGGAGCTGAGTCCAAAGGCAAA